GGCATCACTGAACGAGTCAGGTGGTCAGTCCAAACAAAAAAAAGGCGCGATTGTAGAAAGAGATTCGTTACGAAACGTTTGTAGGCTAGGGGGCTTGGCTTGTTTATGCTATTCATAACGAAGGCTATAAAATATGTACAACTTAGAAACTAAATGCTATGTGTACTTATCTGTATTCATAACCCAATATCTGAGGATGGTTGATGTGCTCCTTAGCTTTTATATAGTTCGTATTATTCTGTAATAAATTAAATCTAATCCAAAATATACTATAATACCATAGCAAAGCTACTACTATTTTATTTAGTAGTAGCTTATATAGTAGAATAGTAAATTATATATAAAAAAGTATGAGTATGTCTGAGGAAAGGTTAAATATAAACAAATATTTTGCCAAGTTCGAATCGGACTTCCGAGATTACAAGATTTAAAACCTATACATATTACTATCGATCAAAAAAGTCAAAAATACTAGTTTCTATTTCTAGTAGAAAATCATTTAATTTCAAATTTATTTTTACCACTTGCTGTTATAGCGGCAACAGAAATACACGTTCTGTGAAAATTACAACCATCTACCCGTTACGGATCATGAGATGCCCGCTGACAGACAGACACACGGACAGCGGAGGCTCCGTAATAGGGCCCTGCTGGTTACCCTTCGGGTACGGAATCCTAAAAAGTACTAAGTTGTCCACTCACATCTGTATGATTCTTTCTTCAAAGGACCATATTAGCCTGGTTCTCGTATGACATGACCAATGTAATACCTGGACTGACCTCTCTGAGTTTGTTTCGGCAGATCGGGTGCTTCTTCTCAGTTTCATGTTTTTGTTGTGTTAAAGTGTTTTTAAAAAAAAAAACAACTTACTAAACACATTTTATTTAACATTGACTGCCCTTCTTAGATTATTATGTACTTACATAAATTACATTAGGTATATTAGGATATGAGATTCCTATACGTAAGCACGATTATCGAAAATCTAAAAATTACCTATTCTAATTAAATTAATAGATAATTTTAAGATTTTCGATAATCGTGCTTATCTATGAGCTGTTTTCGTTAGTTAGCAAATTAAAGTAGTTAAGTACCTAATGTACTACCTGTATCGAAAGTTCATTATTATGTACCTACCTGTTTTCAATTTTAACTAAATGTGCTTCAACAAACTTATGGGCATATTTTAGCAGCTATATTCATCCCGGCTTCAGCAATGGACACGACAAGGAAGCAATTTTTCTAAATAAAGATGTAGATATGTAGGTATTACAACCATAAATAGATAGCAGCGGCTAACATAGTGAGCATGTGTGAGTGTGCGCTGCGCCCCCCTCCGTCCGTCCCACTGATCGGGGAAACAATTTGTAGCGAAAGGCAAGATGTTTTATAACAAAAACCGGCCAAGAGCGTGTCGGGCCACGCTCAGTGTAGGGTTCCGTAGTTTCCCGTCCGTCACAATAAGTGTTCCCACTTATGAGTTTAAAGGTGGGTATCCATTATGTTCGCGCTCCAGCAGCGCTCAGCGCTCCTGCAACTGCTCCCGGTAGTGGGTACTGTTGTTTCCATCCAAGTTCAAAATGATTTTCCTAGAAAGTCCTTCTAAAGTTCTACTTTTCAGATTTTTTTCATATTTTCTAAACTTATGGTTCAAAAGTTAGAGGGGGGGGGGGACACATTGTTTTTTACTTTTGGAGAGATTATTTCCGAAATTATTGACATTATCAAAAAATAATTTTAGTAAACCCCAATTCATTTTTAAATACCTTTCCAACAATATATCACACGTTAGGGTTGAAATTAAAAAAAAAAACACTTCCGACTTTACATATAGGGGGCTACCCTAATAAAACATTTTTTCCAATTTTTATTTTACCATTTTGTCGGCGTGATTGATACACATATTGGTACCAAATTTCAGCTTTCTAGTGCTAACGGTCACAGAGATTAAGCGAGGACGGACAGACGGGAAGTGGCGAAACTATAAGGGTTCCTAGTTTACTACGGAACCCTAAAAACGGGCGCGCGAAATTTTATAAACAGACCTTTGGTAGTCTGGATGTCACGAAAAACCTATTGAATGTATCTGTTTAAAATAAAATTATTTGCATTTTTGAACAACTAATCTATCCCTGTATGGTAACTGTTTTGCAATTTTCGTTCTTCTTATGGTATTTATTTCTGCCCAAAGATGTGTTAAAAATAGTGTTGAAATTCGGAATTTTCGACGCTTATAACTTTTAAATATACTCTTTTTTTACTTTTTTGTTTCCATACAGGGCTAGATAATGATGAAACAAATTGAAATCATTTTTTATTTGGAACGTACACCATCAAACAGTGGAGTAATCGCCGGACTACGTTTGTATGGAAGAATAAGCGACTAGTGTACCCTTAATAAAGAAATACTCCGAAAAATTAAATCTCGACGTGAATTCGCTAATACCACCATGTACCAAACCGCCGAGGTTGTATGGGTTACCGAAGATACACAAACCAAACGCTCCACTACGTCCCATAGTGAGCCAGATCGATTCACCAACTTATAAGCTGGCACAATACTTAGCAAAAATACTATCACCACTGAGAGCACCCACAGCGCACACAAAGGATTCATACCACTTTGTGAGTGAGATAAAATACCTACATCTCGCTGATAATGAAATTATGGTCAGTTTTGATCAGTCACAATTTACATGCCTACCTATTGTTGACTGCATCTCAATTGTAACTAGGAAGCTAGAAGAAAATAACATGATTCAAGAATATGCAATATTACTTGAACACTGCCTCATATCTGGCTATCTATTGTGGAAGGAGGAGTTCTACAAGCAAGTAGATGGTGTGGCGATGGGCTCACCTGTGTCTCCCATAGTCGCCGACATATTCATGGAGGACTTTGAGGAGAAAGCCCTTCTTACTGCTCCTGTAAATCCAAGATTCTACAAAGGGAACACAACAACAAGATTCTACAAGACGACACTTTCACAATTTTACCATCTGACAAAGTGACTGCATTTTTAGACCACCTTAACTCCATAAACTCTAAAATACAATTCACAATGGAGTTAGAGGCAAATAATTCTTTAGCCTTCCTAGATGTTTTAGTCATCCGAAATCCTGATAACACTATTGGTCACACTGTGTATAGAAAAAAGACCCATACCAACGGATATCTAAATGGTGATCTCACCATCATCCTTCACAGTTAGTTACCGTGGGTAAATCTTTGTTTCAGAGAGCATGAGGGATCTGTGACAGAAAACATCTGGCCGCCGAGTTTCAGGATGTCAAGTAACTATTGCAAGACAAAAAGCTTCGGGTCCCGCGCCTACGTCACAGTGAACGAGTGAAGCCGGCCACAGTCGACCGCGAGCCTTCTGTACTACTGTATGTTAGAGGAGTCACAGACAAGATTGGCTACATCTTGAAGCGAGCGTCCATTAAAACATACTACAAGCCGCCGAAGAAGATTAGTCAATTTTTACCATCCGTTAAGTGTAATATCCCTCTACAAGATGCAGGAGTGTACAAGTTAGATTGTGAATGTGGTCTCTCTTACATAGGTAAAACAAAAAGATCCATAAAAACCTGTGTGAAAAAACATATAGCTGACGTGAAGTACTGACGCTCCGGGAGGTGCTGCCAGCTGCTTGGAATCCTATAATTTAAAAATTAAACCCAAACCCAAGCATACCACTGCAAGACTTCATGATACATGATAAGCTCAATTTGCGTAAATCGGATCAAAAATTAATATTCAATAACTGAAGGTAGGCGGACTAACTACGACATTGGGAAGTCAACATCTCAGTCCCCCCACCCCCGTGACCACGGGTGCTGTAAAGCAACCGAAACGTCGGGATAATAAAAATAAATTAAAGTTGAATTAAACGCGATAAAATCCGTAAATAATAGTTTTATTCAATGTGTAGTGTTCGCGTAATTTTAAGAAATCATTAAAGAGAATATAGAATAAAAAATAGACAAAATGTGTTTATGGACGGGTGCTGTAAAGCACCCGAAACGTCGGGATAATAAAAATAAAGTTGAATTAAACGCGATAAAATCCGTAAATAATAGTTTTATTCAATGTGTAGTGTTCGCGTAAATTTAAGAAATCATTAAACAGAATATAGAATAAAAAATAGATAAAATGTGTTTATGGACAGATAGTCAAGTCTTCATAAGCTGGATTAGGTCAGAAAAGTTGTTACCACCTTTTATAGCCCGAAGAGTAAGTAAAAAAAAACGCATCATAATATATGTTAAATTGGAAGAAAATCCTGCAGATATTGCTATGAGAAAAGACTCACTAAAAAGAAGACACCTATGGCTTGAAGGCCCTCAGTTCTTACATAAAAATATTGACTATGATAATAATTGGACAAATTTAAGAACTCTTTTTACTGCGGAGGATCTGACTGAATCAGAATCCAATGCAGATGTGGAAGCACTGAAAGCATAAATGAAAGCGGTCTATTACCATTGCCACTACTTATATCTAATGACAGGAAAGAGAAACATAAAATGTGGATATGCATATATACCTGCTTGGTTACTCAAGCTATTCACTTGGAAGTAGTTCAAGATTTAATCACAGAAGAATGTGCATTAGCACTAAGAGGTTTTTTTGCAGCTAGAGGAATATCAAAATTAATTTTATCTGTTAATGCTTCCCAATACAAATTAACAGCTGATGTTGTCTCTGGTCTCTTTTGTTTAGGAAATAAAATTAAATGGAAGTTTATACCAGAACTAGCTCTGTGGCACGGCGGAGTGTACGAAAGACTTGTGGGTCTCGTAAAACACTGTTTTAAGAGAAGTCTGGAGAAAAGCTTATTCAACGAGTCAATTACGTACTGTAACTAAGGAGATTGAAACAGTTATAAATACTAGATCTTTGACTTACCTGGGGGCAGAAATAGACCGTGTCTTAAGACCCATTGATTTTTTATTTTTAAATGAATCCTTACTAATCCCATCGAGTGAACCATATATGCCTCAAAAGGAGTCTGAAATCAAAGTGGCTTTAATAGAAGGATGGCGAAGAGGACAGAGGTTATTAGAAGAATTCAAATACATGTTTAGTAACCGGTACCTGAGTATGTTAAGAGAAAGAACACAGCGTATGAATAGGCAACCACACATAGTGTCAAAGAAAAACCCTGAAATAGGGGACATAGTGCAGATTAAGGGAGACAATAACAACAGAAGTACATGGAAAACTGGTAAAATTGTAACCTTATATAGAAGCAAAGATAGACAAGTTAGGGTAGCATCAGTTAGAGTTGGGGACAAGGAATATAATAGGTCTATAGCACATCTTTACCCTCCTGAAATTGACTGCAAGGAAGGTGTGCATACATCAGACAGGTCTATTAACAAAGTAATCACTGATAAAGAATTAGAAGGTAGTGAGGGTGGTATCCTTAATAAAGGAAGCTCTGATGAAGAAAGCAGGGGTTGAAAGCGGTATAGGTATAAGGGTATGGTACCGGTATAGAATTACGATACAGCTTCGATTTAAAGGTAGAACCAAAACGGTTGAGAATTACGGTTGTGGTACCATTAAAAAAGAATTATACCTATATTTTTTACGGTATCGTTATACCTATATTTTACTAATACCTTTACCGAAATAATTTCGGTACGGAAAAAAATGAGTATTTTAGGCTTATTTATATGTATTGTGTCTCGGACCTTGCTTAACGTTATGAGACTCATTCGATTTGGATTTCCTATGTTACTGTATTTCATGTTCGGAGAAAATAAAACATCTTTATCATATTTGTATTATTATTTATTATCAGTAAAGTATTTAATTAAAAACTTAATATTATGTTTAACATGTGGGTACCAATTCTTAACCTAGCTCTTCAGAATCAGTTAAAGGAACATCTTTAAAGTGCTTCCCTTCCAAGGGATGTAGGAATACTAATATTTTTGAGTACACACGGGCTTGCATACAAGTTTTTATATTTTGCATCCGTTTTTTATAACATTTGCCGGCCCTGAGAGCGATCGAATAAAGAACGCTAAGCTAAAAATTACTGCCGTGTAGTGGCGGTTAAGAATCCCCGTGGGTGTCGTAAAAGGCGACAGAGGGAAAGCGGCAGGGGATGGGCAGCAGCATCTTCCTGATAACATCAATTGTACAACAAAAAAAAACTGCAGTTGCCAACCCACTCGTAAAGCGTGGCAACTATGGAAATACCCCCCACGAGCAACGACACAAGTAAACGGCCCCCAGTTCCACGGCGGCCGCGCTATTCCTGACTAGGTGGCGAACATGGTAAAGGCGGGAGAGGGGTGCTAAGAATCTCCGGTGAAGTATCGATTGCCACCAAAGACGATTCGACTTGGCAACAAACAACGGACGCACCCTGAGGACTACCAAGAAGATCCTGGAGCTGGAAGAAGAGATAGACAAGTAGCGCTTGAATATTAAAGGATCATCCGCGGTCCGAAGAGAGGAGGAGGACACGGTGATTCATGAATCCGGCAGCTTGTTCTATCACCGGGAGGGCGACCATTCTGTCCCAAGGAGGTGTTGGATTTATAATCCACAAGTCTCTCGTTAACAACCTTGTAAAGATTGGTAGTGTGTCGACGAAAGTTGCGTACCTCATATTCAGAATCACCAAACGGTATCCAAGGTCATACAGGTCAACGCACCAACATCTATTACATTTTTAGATATTCTCTAAGATATTTCTAGAGCCATGCATTCTTATAAAAATCACTATACGGTGTTAATAGGAGACTTCAACGCAAAACTAAGCAAAAGGAAGAAAGGTGAGCTGACGATAGGTAAATTTGGGTTAGGGCAACGGAACACAGGGGCCAGCAGCTGGCCGACTTCATGGAGAAGGAGGGACTGTTTATAATGAACTCTTTTTTCCTGAACCGGCTCCACAGAAAGTGGACCTGGTCGAGGCCCGACAGTACGATAAAAAATGAGATTGACTTTATTATGAAGACGAGACGGTACCTGTTCAGTGATGTCTCACTGATCGCAAGGATGAAAACCGTCAGTGATCACCGAATGGTTAAAGGTACACCGAACCTAAACGTTAAGTTGAAGAGGTCTCGTCTAAAGAAGTCAACGCTCCGTCCCCCTCGTGCTCTAATCCAGAATCCCGAAACCTTTCAACTCGAGTTACGTAACCACTTTCAGTGCCTAGAAGATTGCAATGCAGTGGACGATATGAATGACAAGCTCGTGGAAACTGTCCTTGCGGTCTGAGCTAAGTTCTGCAAGACCCGCCGCAGAAGAACACAAAAACTCTCCGATCACACTCTTAATCTCATGGCTGTTAGACGGGAGATGAGGCTGCAATCGTCAACAGATTTGACAGCATACAGGCAACTGAACAGACAGATCTCCAAATGCATGCGGCGAGACTTGGGGGTGGGGGGCGCTTGGGGGAGGCCCCACTTTCCGGGGACCCCAGAGTTTTTGGAGTTTATAGTGCTGAACACATATCGTTGGGCCACACGCAAGTGTGAGTAACGATTCAAGAGCAAGTCTAATCCGACACTATTCCGATGATATCCCGAAAGTCAGTCTGAGCAAGAAAAGAAGGCTCTCTATCACGTTAAAAACGGCAATGCCCCAGGTTAAGATTGAATTACAGCGGAGTTTTTGAAAGCGGGCGGAAAACCGGTACTTAAAGTCCTTCAAAATCTCTTCAATTTCGTCCTTCATGGTGGCACTACTCGGAGGCTTGATGCAGAAGTGCAGTGCTCTTGTTTTTAAAGAAAGGCGATTACGCTCTCTTGAAGAACTACAGACCGATTTCCCTTCTGAGCCGCGTCTGCGTGCCGTTTTCGAGAGTCATTACGAATCGTCTCGCACGCAGACTCGACGACTCCCAGCCTCCCGAAAAAGCCGGTTTCCGAAAAGGCTTCAGTACCATAGATCACATACATACCCTGCGGCAGATTGACGGAAGACCGAAGAGTACAATCTGCCACTTTACCTGGCGTATACCGCCAACCGGTAACAACCGTAACCGTATATGAGAAAGCATTTGATTCCGTCGAAATTTGGGCGGTGCTACAGTACCTTCAGCGGTGCCAAGTTGACTGTCGGTATATCGAAGTGCTGAAGTGTTTGTACAGTAGGGCTACGATGCTAAGTGCTGTTTTCGAGTCATTACGAATCATATTCAACTGCAGAGAGGTGTAAGACAGGTTGACATTATATCACCCATACTCTTCACCGCCGCATTGGAAGATGTTTTCAAGCTACTGAATTGGAAAGGTATTAACATCAATGGCGAGTACATTACTCAAATTCGATTTGCCGACGATATAGTCTTTATGGTGGAATCGCTGGAGGATCTAAGCAATATACTCAATGATCTCAATAGTGTATCCCAACGTATAGGTTTTAAGATGAACATGGACAAAACAAAGATCATGTGTAATGTTCATGTCACGCCTATGCTGGTAGTTGTTGGGAGCACTAAGCTCAAAGTTGTTTGACGAGTACGTTTGCCTGGGACAAATAGTCCGACCAGGTAAGTCTAACTTCAACCGAGAGGTCTTCAGGAGATTTCAACTCGACTGGGCAGCGTTCGAGAAATTACGACACATCTTCTCGTGAGGTATACCTCAAAACCTAAAAACTAGATTGTACACCAGTGCATGTTGCCAGCGATGACTTACGGATCTGAGACATGTTCCTTTAACTGCTGGCCGTATGAGGACGATCATGGTCGCTCAGCAAGCTATGGAGAGGGCTTTGCTCGTGGTTTCTCTGCGCGATTAACTTAGAAACCGCAGTAGAACCAGGGCAATCGACATAGCCTAATGTATTAGTAAGCTGAAGGGGCAATGGGTCGGCCATTCGGCCCGAAGAACCGATAACTGATGGGGAAAAAAGGTTCTCGAGTGGCAGTCTCGTACCGGTAGTCGTAGTGTAGGCCTATTAGACGGAATGATGACCTGGTAAGACATGCAGGAAGTCGATGGATGCAGGTGGCTCAGGACCGTGCTTTGTGGCATTCCTTGAGGGAGGCCTATGTTCAGCAGTGGACTTGTGAAGGGATATAATGATGATAATGATGAAGCTAAAAATGTCATTTCTTTGATCCTTTTCTTCTCGTTGGATAGCCATGCAATGGAAACATTCAGAGCGATGTTTATCTTTCTCCGGGTGTTTTTCTACTTTAGGGTGTAGAGCAGAATGAGTCCTTGGTCGTTCCGAATTCACAAAAATATCTAGGGAATGATGGTGCTTATTCTGACACATGATGACTGGTTCTGAAATAAATCATATTCAATCATATCATCACTCACAACTCGAAAAATTACGTTCGTTCGGCCTCAATCTAAAAAAGTAGAAAGATATACAATGTTGTATAATATCGTCAAGAAATGCTTAATGAGTTTGTACCTACTTTTATCCATCTTTACGACAATCTAATTGTAAAGTTATAACAAAGCACACATTATAACAAGCAGTTCACGCGGTAAGATTATGGAACTCACTACCGTCAAATATAAGAAATTCCGAAACTTTGTTGGTATTCAAGAAACTTCTTAGAGATAATATCTAGGGAATGATGGTGCTTATTCTGACACATGATGACTGGTTCTGAAATAAATCATATTCAATCATATCATCACTCACAACTCGAAAAATTACGTTCGTTCGGCCTCAATCTAAAAAAGTAGAAAGATATACAATGTTGTATAATATCGTCAAGAAATACTTAATGAGTTTGTACCTACTTTTATCCATCTTTACGACAATCTAATTGTAAAGTTATAACAAAGCACACATTATAACAAGCAGTTCACGCGGTAAGATTATGGAACTCACTACCATCAAATATAAGAAATTCCGAAACTTTGTTGGTATTCAAGAAACTTCTTAGAGATAACTACTTTGCATCCTGTTAATTTATATATATATATATTCTATTATATTAGTTTTAGTTTATGTATATCATATGTAACTATCGCATTTATTATTATTATTTATTGATTTATTTTATTTTTATTTATTGTTTTATTTTATATAATTTACGTAACATTGTGTATATTATTTATTTTTTAGTAGTACTAATGTATGCACTAAGTTTGCAATTTCAATATAATTTCCTTTATGGGTCTACTGGAGGATATTTCAGCTAATTTGGAATAAGTAGAACCTTTGTACGAAATTACTATAAGACTGCTTCTGTATCTTAATGTGTGTACATAAAATAAATTTAAAAAAAAAAGCACACTTGTGATTAAGTTGACAAAGTATACGCGGAAACATGAATGGCGGCAAAATGGCAAAACAATCTACTTTGTTTAGCTGCCGAGACACGAATATCCGTAAATTTTCGATCAAGTACCTACTCTCTTACCAATGCGGCCGACACTGCGTGAAGCCTCGGCGCGAGCGGCGGCGTACAATTTCTTTGTTTATACTTTATACCTTTATTTTATAATTTAGATACTTGAAAAAGTAATGGTACAGTTACTTTAAGGTATAGTAATTTAAAGGTACCTTTATTTTAAGGTATCGAAATTTAAAGGTATGACGTCATACCGCTTATCGTCTGTACCATAATTTTTTCGGTTATTCAATCCCTGGAAGAAAGACAAAATAGGAGAAGTAGTAGATGAGCCGCGGAAAAAGCTAGGGAATTAATAGTTTGGTCTAGAGACCTCTAAGTCTCTAAGTTCTTTTTAAACAATCATAATAATAAGAGTTCATTTATGATGACAGATTAAAATTTATAATTTAGCAATAAGAGATTTTTTTGTTATTTGATTGATAATAAAAGGATGTTATCAAATACCATACATGTTTCCTTTCGCTCTCGGGAGTGTCGCGAACGTGATTTAAATATGGGCAGAATTAATGTTGCTAAGAGGGCAACACTGGTTGAGAAAGGGGGAAGTGACTTAAATGTTAGTGTCGAATTAAGAGTCAGTTTGAAGTTGTGGTTCGAAGGAGACACTTCTCTCCAGCAAGAGTTGCCGTTGCGTCTTGGCAAGGAGATATTGGTAAGTGTTATATATTATAATATCTCACTGCATTTTATATTGTTGAAACGTTACCTAGATGTGGAGGCTACGGGAGAGCTATAAGGGGTGGTTGGAAGCTCTTCAGGGACAAGAGATCCTGCCAAAGAGATATCTGGTAACAGATATTCACTAATACAGAATGTAAGGATATATATGTGTCCTTCATGTAGGTTCAATCGCATAAAGAATACCCGATTCGAACTTGGGCAATAACCAATTCACGATGGAACGATAGGTCTTCGCGACACTATCATTCCATGCGGGCATGACTTGTACAGTAATTAGTTATAAGTTTAGGCTAGCCAGTTATAAGTTTTATTGCACAATATAAAAACAATTTACTATAAAAAATATAAAAAGTTGAAATTATTTTACCATTTTCCTGGAGATCATTTTTTTTCAATGGCACATGGAGACAGTACATTGCCAATCGTAGAAATATTTGGATGTGAAATGTTTGCCTCGACTGATGGATCTGGAATTGTAGAAAATAATCTAAATATATATAAATTACGTGTCACGTTGTTTGTCCGCGATGGACTCCTAAACTACTTAACCGATTTTAATCAAATTTGCACACCGTGTGCAGTTTCGTCCAAATTGAGAGATAGGATAGTTTTTTTTACCATGAGTGAGCCACATTTTTTTGCTAATTTAAGGATTTTTAATAGAACATGACAAAGGGTCGTCGAAAAATGCAGAACAACGTCTGCATGGCAAGCTAGTATTATAATAAATTTATTACAAATATAATGTCTTTTTATATTATCTCCGAGTGAACCCACGACGTGAATGTAAAACAAAGTGATGGGTGCCAAAAATAAAAAGGACATTATTGTAAACGGGAAAAATTAAAAAAGAAAATAAATATTCATCATAACAATATACATTTGAAGTACAAATAGATATATAACATAAAATTTTATACACGGTAGAGTCATATATATTATGGTTGTAGCACAAATGGTTCGGCTCGACAGGGTTGGACCGCACTTGTAACAGATTCTCAGCAAAAAATTGCAGTTTAATTTTGTTGTGTTATGTAAGGTGAGTGTAGAGAAACAGAGATCCTTTTACAGGAAACGAGGCATTCCATTTTTGTCCTTAGGGGTTACAAGGTATCTTCATTTGATTCTTTATCGAGCATAAATGTAGATGTCTGTGGGCCACAGCACCCTCTTACCATATGGAGTTCTATCATGCATTTAGGAAAGCTATTGAAATTTGTCCTTGAGATAAGGAGTGGATGGATCATTTTAGATAAAGAAGAGAACGAAAGAAATACAGTAAGCTTTATTTTACAGTGAGCCATTTAAGGCAGAGTGATAGTGAGAAATATAATCATTCTTTTTTTCTTTTTTCTTTTTAAAAAGAATATTAACAATGCTATAAACATTACTAATATTCCCCTTAACGTTGAATAATTGTGTATAAAAATAATAAACTAATAGTGATGTCTATTAGATACAGTCATATTAAAAATTATGTGCCACATGCTCTACGTGTTTGTACTAACTAGTACTTGACTTCACTTAAAATAAATGAGTACCAAGTAGCAACCAATATTTTCCTTTCGTAAGGTATCTTCTAGCATGCTCATTTTCATACATGAAGGAGTCAATTTTTGACAATCTAAAACAAAAACAAAATAAGGTCAAATGTTATAATTATTTTGACGATGAATAAGGCAGAGCGGGCTATCGGGCTAGTATAATTGGATGAAAGTTAGTATTTCGAGTTTAGGCTACCCCAGGCTTTAAATTAAATCATCTGCATGAAAAAATATCATAATTTCAGATTGAACTTTTTTACTCAGTAGTGCCCAAAGGATATTTTAATCCTTGATACAGTAAAATAGTAATGAGTCCTGTACATCAAACAGCATATCTCATACCTCTCAAATCGAGTCAAGAAGGTTATTTACATAATGAAGTTGCTTAGGAACTGTGCTGATAAAAAGACACTTTGTATGGTTCATTTTGCCTTCTGCCAATCCATAATACAATATTGTATATCAGCTTGGGGTGGTGCCTCCAAAACTACGATGATTCAATTGGAGAGGGCACAGAGAGCAGTTCTCAAGGTCATGTTTAAAAATCCCTACCGGTACCCTACAGCCGATTTTTATCGGGATAGCGATGTTTTGAGTGTACGCCAGTTGTATATTCTATCCGCAGTATTAAAAACCCATCATTCATCATTACAGCCCTTCACAAGTCCACTGATGAACATAGGCCTCCCCCAAGGTATGCCACAAAGCACGGTCCTGAGCCACCTGCATCCATCGATTTCCTGCATGTCTTACCCGTTCGTCACTCCATCTAGTGGGGGGTCGCCCTACACTACGCCTACCGGTACGAGGCTGCCACTCTAGAACCTTTCTTCCCCATCGGTTATCGGTTCTTCGAGCTATATGGCCAGCCCATTGCCACTTCGGCCTACTAATCCGTTAGGCTATGTCGGTCACTCTGGTTTTACTGCGGATATCCTCATCACGCAGAGAAACTCCGAGCATAGCCCTCTCCATAGCTCGCTGAGCGACCTTGAGCATCCTCATACGGCCAGCAGGAAGGACCACGTCTCAGTACCGTATGTCATCACTGGCAACACGCACTGGTTGTACAATCTAGTTTTCAGAGTTTGAGGTATACCTGACGAGAAGATGTGTCGCAATTTCCCGAACGCTGGCCAGCCGAGTTGAATCCGTCGATTAACCTCTCGGTCGAAGTTGGACTTACCTAGTCGCACTATTTGTCCCAAGTAAACATACTCGTCAACAACTTCGAGCATATTGCTCCCAACAACTACTGGCGTAGGTGTGACATGGACATTAAACATGATCTTTGATTAAAAACCCATGGGTAAGTAATTCAGTCGCCTATTTACGATCACCTAGTGACTAAACGTATATTTAAAATTCCAATTCCGGCTGCCAGATCTGTTTTCGCACAACGCCTTCCGCAGTTCTCACATCCTCATATTTATAACAAAATACTTAAAGTCTTTGACATCAAAAATTGCACCACATTGAAAGCTAAACATATAATAAAAATATATCTCACCACACGAAATTATAAAGATACCGAAAACATAATTAAAACAAAAATAATACCAAATTATATCTATGTTTTACACTAAAAATATTGTATTCGTATTTTTTCTAGGAATAAAAAATAAATAATAATGCAAGCGACAAATAGTTAAAAACTATCTTCCTAAATTAAGAAATAATTTGTTGTTTTGTATAATTTCGGTACTTTTAACTACATAAGTAAAACTGATAACCATACTCCTGGTCCCCAAGATACAGGCTATGCCTAGTTTGGGGCCAGCCAGTAACTTTTTTAAGTAACATTGTATAAAATTTAATTTAAGTTAGTATTTTTTCCAACATTCAGGTCTGTAGCTCTATTTCTAGGAATAAATGTTTTTTTGTTCAGCTTTTGTAAGATGTTTTTAGGGTTCCATAGTAAAACAAGGAATCTTTATAGTTCCCTCCATTTGTCTGTTTTTCACCTGCATCTTAAAAATATAATATAAGAGCTGTACAGTTAGAGAGGTAGTTGTTATTAGAGCTGGAAAGCATGGAGAGGAGACCTGTTTTTTTTTTTCTAAAAAACGTTATCCCTACACTAAGATTTTCTCTTGTATCGTAGGGGCAGTTTACAAACATAAATTGCACAAGGACAAAAATACAGACCCGGAACAACTATTTGTAGGCCATACAAATAATTGTTCCATGCGGGATGCGAACCCGCGATCCCTAACGCAGCCACTCATTTCTAAGCCACTGCGCCACGGAGTCGTCGTGTTTAGTTGTGGGCAGGCATTGGGTTGATATAATGATGAAGAACTCTTAGTGCCCAACTAATAAAATTTATACAAAATACTATGTAGTTATTTATATTATGTAGTACTGTCACCATAGCACAAAATCTCTCTACATATACATACCACGTAGTATATATGCCAAAAACTTTGTGTGAATTGAGGTTTTTAAAAATTGTCATGGCAACTCTTTGAATTTCCAGACTAAAAAGTAGCCTATATATCCTGGATGCAAGCTATCTGTACAAAATTTCGACTATATACGAAATAGGTTAAGCACTTTTATAATATTATTAAATTAATATGAATTTTACCCGTTGATGTTGATGGTTTTAGAATATTATCATCATAAGACTGGATGAGATTCATAGGTTTTCTTTCACTAAAAGTGTAGTTTGGAAGGGTCAATGGTCCTGGAATTGAAATTAATGCAAGTTCAAATAAATGACAAATTTTAACAACCTGCAACTAAACTGTTCTGAGGTGATACAGGCAGTACCTTGGTAGCATGTTTATACAATATATATTCACAATTGACAGATTCTTAATCTACATGGTTTATAGTCAACCAAATCTAAGAAATACCTTTTGATGTTTCACATTAATCATTCCGCAATAACTTTGCACCAGCGTACTCACAGGATTTAAAATAACCTTTTACGTAAATCCGAATAATTATGAAGTTATCTATATTTCATTACAACATGTATAGTTTTTTATCACTAATTTAAATTTTTCAAACAAAGCAAAATATTAAAACATAATCAGTATTAACTTTTTTTACTTGACATCGTTTCAATGATATGTCGCTATGTATATTACCGTAGTGTTTGGATGATTAAAAATCGTTGTTATGCGAATGATCGGCACAATATTCAAATAATCGGTAAAAATGTTCAAATAATCGAATCATTAATTTTTTAATGTATTATTTGTTTAATTTAATTTTTATTTTCAAAATTCCTCAAATTACATGAATCATGAATAAAACAAGTTTATTTTTTTTACTTTGTCAAAGCAAATTTGTGTAGGCGAAAAAATCATATACAAGGCCGTGCTAAAATAACCACTACATAATTTCAATATCCCGCCATTTCGGTACCAGTTACTCGACTCCACAGAGTTAGTAATTCATTCTTGGGGCGATATATACGCTTTTACAACAAAATCCCAGAAAATATACAAAATTTGACGTAAGTACACATATTTTAAAAACTTTATTAAACTAAGTTTGTATAAAAAGGGTTATTTTAATATTAAGGAATTTATGGATGATAATAACTCCTGGGAAGGGTGATCGCTACCAAGCTATTTCTAATTTGTTTTGTGTTGTTAATTGCAGCACTCATGATTGTAAACTCTTTTTTTTTTAAACTAGTCCCATTGGGTTTCTTGCTGGTTCCTCCCAGGACAAAGGTTTTTTTGCGAACCAGTGGTAAATGAAAAAGCAACTTTCAATAAGTATTATTCATAATTTATATTGAATAAAAAAGTTTCTGTTTCTGTTTCCAGAGCTTACTGTGCGTAATTTTGTAATTTTTTGTTTGTCTTCTTATTTTGTGACTCAGTTGTAACTTTTTGGACTGCTTCTTCTATAATAAATTTTTGTATGTGGTAGAGCCACGCTACAACTATATTATAGTTGTAGCACGAATGGGTCGGCTCAACCGGGGCAGCAGGACCACGCTTTCACAGAATACCAGCGTAAAATAGTAGCGTAATGCTGCTGTGTTTCGTATGGTGAGTGCAGAGAACTGGAGACCATTTTTACTGTAATCGAGGCATTCCATCTTAAACCTCTGGGGTGACATCGCATTTGCATTTTGATTCTGAATTGAGAATAAATATGTATACATATCTATGGGCCATAGCATCCACTTAACATCAGTTGACCTGTATGCTCGTTTGTCACCCAATTCTATAAAAAAAAATTTTGTTGAAGCATGTGCTCATTTCACAAAGGATAATTGGGCAAAATTGGTAGATAAAACAAAAAAATTGATTATGGATGTCCATGAAAGAGACATTAAATTTGTCTGTATTATTGAAAATATAATAATTATTAATATAAACAACGACATATCTACTAGTTTTTCTGAAAATGATTGAATAAATTTATTTTGAATCTAGTTTCAATCTTAGATTTTTATAACTGTGCCTATAGAAATATTCAGTAACAAAAAATACGAAGAAACTGATAAATCTTGTTTTAAATTATCCGTTTTTATTTTATTCTGGTATTATTCAAACCAAACTAAATGATTACCAACTCTAAATAATCGATATCGATTTTTTAAAGAATCGAATATTGTACGTTCCCATTTTTTAGTTGGCATGCTTGGTGCAATAAATCTGACAGCTGTCAAAATGTTTTTCTTAGATTTGGTTGACTATAGTTGGTAACACTGCAACATAAAGTTAAACAGTTGGTGTCCGAAGTATTGTGACAGAGTTTATGCCTGTCAACCTCTATGTTTATTTACTGTTGGCAGATCCTCCTTCTTCAGTATTTATGAGGGCAGTAACACAGTAGCATTGGTTGAGGAGTCGGAACCCAGTGTTGACATTATATGGTATCTTCATGGTAACTAAATCTCCTTGTGGTCTATAACTATAAAACATAATATCTAAGAACCTACCTAGACATAATATGTATAGTTATAATGCAAAAACCACATCAAAATCATCTAAGTAGTTTTTCAAAAAAATGGTAACAAAAATTACCACAAAAACAAACTCACAACCAATAATGGCAAACACGTTTTTAAAATATGGTGTGGCTATGAGTGGGTGTATCCGGTGGACTAACACTCTCGCTAGGACTTACGCAGTTGAGAGCTGTACGCGGGGATGAAGGAGGACACTATAGTGTCGAGAGGCAACACACCCTCTTTGGTCTGGATTTCAAGCTAAACGGTGGTCCTATCTGCTAGCCACACATAGGGAAATGGCCAAACATCCCGTCAAAGGGTCGCAGGCGAGGGATGTGGCGGCTGCCTAGTTTCCCTGAAAAGGGCTAGGTGGTGGGTAAAGGCCATGCCGACCGAGCAAGTGAAAGTTTATTCAGGCAGTGGGGATGGCCTTTTTCAGCCCTATTTGCCAGCTGGATCAAGCTCCCCATGCCGCGCTGTGACCAAACTTCGTGTCCTTATATTCCCCGGTAATCACAATGCCTGAAATTCTTTTTATACTAAAGTAGGGTGTTCCCCAAGGTGCGGACTCCACAGAGGATGGGAAGCCGGGGGAAGAATATGCAACACATAAAAAATATGGACAATTCAAGGCCCATTAGAAAAGAGGGAGATGTGTCAGAGGTGCTCACCTTAGACACTGACAAACAAGGAGGAACCACCATTAAACCGGCGGTACAGGCTGTACTATCCAGTGTAGGTGGCCCCACCAAGGGGGCAATTTCCGGACTGGATGTTCCTAAAACCAGTTCCAAATCTGAGTAGCTGAAAAGAGCAAGGGACCACAAGTAACAAAACTTCAGTGGTGTTTTGTTAAATGAACATTGTGAAACGGCGGCTCATGTGTTGCTGACATATCCGGAGGTCGCTGCATACAGGGCTAAACATTTCGGAACGCCGGGATCGCTCCCTGAAGTTGCTTGCTACATCAAAGCATTGTTGAACTTTTCAGGGGAGATTTCATGGCTCGAATAATCACATTATTTCTGCAAATTTGGCAAAATACGCGCTTGGATGTAGAGTTGGGGAAAACAGCCCGACATAAACTAAACTAAACACATTGAGTAGCTTCATCCTATATATAAGAATATGCTAAGACTACGTTAATAACATTACAATGATGATGAAAATGTGGTCATTATTTTGGCAAAAGAATGTTCCAACATTTAATATAAAAAATTTATAACAATTCACCAGAAGAATGCCTTATGCATAAAGCAAAAACACAATTAAAAATAAGGTAAATAACTTGTATTGTGATAATCCATTATACAAAAATATATAAAATTATTTATAGCTTTTTTATAATATAGGCATACATTTATGCACATATAAAAATTCTATTGTCATTTAAATTGCTAATTAATGTTATATTGATACTATTTGTCTGTTTTTATGATTGTATATTTGTATTAAGCTATTTTTTGATACTATTTGTTTTTTTTTGATTGTATATTGTATTAAGATTTTTGCATGTTAGGAAGTTGTTGAAGTGTTGGCATCATTTTTGTGCCAACAAACTGCTGAGCAGTTTGGCAGACTGTATGACTATAACAGTGTAAATTTCAATTGTTATATAATTTTACTGCTCATATTCCTTCATGGGTAAATGCATAGAATATATACTGTACAACAGTCAACAACAATAATTTGTAAGCCAATAGACATTGCTTTAACTATATAAATTATGTTTTAAGCATTAAGTGTAATAAATTATATTCACATACCTGGCATATACAACGTTGGCATAGCTGTATTGGCAATTTTGCTAATACTGCGACATAGTTACTTGACCTCAAAATGTCTGCAACACACACGTCAATACTTATAAGTACATACATACACCCATTTATTGAAACATTCTCGTTCCTTAATTGGATTTGGAAATTGATGCAGCACTTGCTTCCTGCCTAGAATCAGTAAAGAAATTTTATTAATATCTTCATATTTGCTGATTTTAATGTTATAGAATTATAAAGTTACAATATTCCAAACTGGAAACATTTTAAAATAAATACTATATTGTATGTTGTGTATATAACTTAATTAACACATTGTTGATTATAATTAACAGCATCTATTTTTAATCTTTCACTACCTCATTGGGTACTTATTTCTACAAAATGTATGATCAACTTTCTTAAAAATAATACTTATCCAGCAAGGGCATAAGCCCACTAAGAGTAGGGATGCAGAATATTTTAGCTCCGAGCTAATGAAGTTGAACAGTATTTCCAAGTATTTCATTTAGGAGCCTTCATCCTACTCGTATTAAAGATATACATATAATAATGATTTGAAAATGGAGTCATAAGACATAGGTAGATTACCTTGATTTTCTGTACACCCGGGAACACAACAATGTTTATCTGATGGCATTAGTACATCAAGATTTACTAATATTATACACTTAAAACTATAATAGACGGAGTCCTGTCTTAGTTGTACAAAATACACTAAAATTTTGTTCATACAAAATAAGAGTCATAAACAATATATAACACAATAAACACGAGTCTTATCTCAGTTGCACAAATATCACTGTTATTATATAAGCCGGAGGAACAAAATCTCTACTCAACGATAAATTCACAGAAAATCTTAGATTATCATATGATAATAAAAAAATATACCATACAATCACAAATCAGTAACAGACATTTTTGAATTTTTGTTGATGTTGAATTTTTTATAATCACATTTTAGTGCTGCCAGTGTGATTTTGCAGTAATAGTACAAATAAATAATTAAATTCAAATTCAAAGATTTTTAAATTCAGAATAAAAGATTCAAAAAACTTCCAAACCCTTTAAATTTTACTCCGACCAAAACAAATTTAATTACATCTAATATTCACTGCTTTACGCTATAAATTATTGTATTACTTTATAAAAAAATGTACCAATTTAGTAGTTTTCTTTATAAGCTCAAAATTATACAGCGCTATCTAGCGAAAACTTAAAATATTCACAGCACTAATATTGCCCTCTGAACTTCAGAGTATGAACTAATACTATTGAATTTAAAAATACCTACTTACTTTACCACTATCAAAAAGTATTTTTGCGTACTGTGTAATTTTGCAGTATAGTACGCAATTCATTTCCCTATTTTTTACTAAGTTTATGCACCCTGACTGAGACGTATATAATATTTTATTTACAAACTAAACTTACAAAAATTGTAGCATAGTGACATCTAGTAAGAATTTGTAAAACCTTAAAGCTGAAATTAAGCGAGCCGTGGCAATTAGTATAGCATTTTGTCGCTAGAGGGCAGGTATTGACAAAATACAAAATTTATTAGCCAACTAAATTTTTTATGTGATTACATAATCGTAGTGATCACTACATAAGAGATAAGAGTGTAAAAAACGTTTTGATATTGCTAGTACATTCAAAAGTGTCAAATACAAATTTAAAAAATGTAAAAGGGACTTAGTAAACTTTATAAAAAAAGTATAAATTGAGCGAATTGGAATCATAATATAAAAATTTTTTTTTTATATTTAGTTTGTGAAAAGAAGAATAATGTCGGTTCTAACTTTTTTTTTAATTGATGTGATATTAGAATTTGGATAAGAAATGGTCTTTTTCCTATTACTAAATATGACAATTGAGGAGTTGATAAAATTTATTTAATAGATAGGTATATTTTTTTATAGGACAGGGTGACAAACGAGCACACAGTCCACCTGATGGTAAGTGGTTGCTGTGGCCCATAGACATCCACATCTATCCTCGATTACGAATCAAAATGTAATTTTAAGTTAGATTGTGTAAGTATGGTAACGTGGTCACCCGTGAGGACTAAGATGGAATGCCTCTTTTCCAGTAAAAAGGGTCAATATATAGAAATAAATAAAGCTGAAATGTGTGTATGTAAAATAACATCTTTTTAATAAATGCATATGGGAGTATATACAATACATATAACAAAGGACAAGTTTTAAATTTTTTGTCTCTTATTGTAAATGTCTGTCTGTTAATTTAACACTAGCTGTTCGCCGTGGCTTCGTCCGCGTAGAATTTATTACGGTTTGGATTCCATAGGGTTTGGTTTTCTTGCCCGAAGCCCTAATTGTTTCTAAAATAAAAAAGGCTTAAGTTACTCCTCACATTTAACAACTATCCGCCAGTGAAAATCACGTCATAATCGGTCCAGCTATTTCTGAGATTGGCAGGAACAAACAGACAGGCAGACAAATTTTCTATTAATTATTATTTTGCTATAATTATCGTATATACTTACGTAGTGCATTTAGATAAAAACTGTTATTTTGACATCACAAACAGACACTTCGGTTGTATTTATTTGTATCTATATTTTACCTAGATTTATGTTTTAAATAAATTTTAAGATTTCATGACTACAAGAAATCGTGACGTGTTGAATAAAACTATTTATACGGATTTTATCGCGGTTCATTATCTTATTTTTACAAATAAATTAATAGTTTAAATAGTTTTAATCAATGTGTAGTGTTCGCGTCAATTTAAGAAATCATTAATTGTGACGTGTTTTACTAGTATTCTCTAGGGGTTTAATCTTGGTGCTTATGCTGATTTATATTAAACATCATACCAATTCTACGGATTTGTATCAATACTTTATTGGCATTACCCGTACAGAAAAATTGGAAGAATTCCTTAAACTCAAGACGGGCATGACGGGAATGTTCATACATTACAGACGTCACGTGTAACATCCACAACACACTGGTTGTTGAAATTTGGGGAACACAAACACTCGAAGTTGCTGATGAAATTGTTTAGGTGGGACAAATTATCCAACCAGGTAAGTCCAAGAAATTACTCACTCTCTTCTCGTCAAGTATTATTCAAAACACTAAAGCAAGAGTATACAACCAGCGAGTGTTGTCAGTGAAGACATGAAGAAGGACGCCCCCCCCCCACTAGATGGAGCGATGACCTGTCGGTAAATGCAGGTGACCCACGATCGTGCCCTGTGGCATCCCTTAAGTGAGATTTGCGAAGAGCTATAATGATCATGAATTTTGATGATCAATGATTTTAGACCAAAGTGGTAAATAAAAATCAGTTTCATTAAGATCATTTTGTCACACTTAGTATCATAGATATTAAATTTTCGGTGGGAAATAAAAACTTCTCTAATCTTACAAAAGCAAAAGAATTGGAGTAAATAACTGAAGCGCCTGTCAATAAATATTAGTGAATGTTCTTTTAAACAAGTTTATTAAAATACTCGCAGGCAAGAACTGTTAAATTTTTAAATATTACTTGTAAATTTATTGCAAACAAAAGATCTTACATTATACAAATTACATCTAAAGGAAAAGTTTTCACAAAACGATAAGCGTATCTACATCTTAATATAATTTAAGTTATAAAATTTTGCTCGGGACCTGTCTCGCAACGTTGACATTATAAAGCTGTCAAAAGTCAGACTCAGTATCCGGCATTTTTAAACAAGTTCGCCCCATCGAAGCAGTAGTTACTGTTACTTTTCCCCCATTTGAGAAAATCTGTGATCGTAAAAAATTAATGTTCTCGGTATTATTTTAGACTGATTTGTTACTCATTCCGGTAAAGATGTTATATTAATTAGGTCTAATTAAAAACAATACAACACATGTAACATAAAATACCAATGCAAAAACTTCTATTTTTATATATGGTTCGATTTCTCATATTTTTCTTTTCTTCAGACTTTTCACACCCACAGCTGAGAAACACTTTCGAGTAAATGTGTCTGTTTTCTTGAATTTAGGTATATTCGTTTGTAAATGTAATATGACACGGTTTTATTTTTCTTTTATCATTTTATATTTCTGACGCTTCATTTAATTTCTTGTAATTATTTTTAGGAGGATTTCTTATAATTAATGTATCGGTATTATTATTTATTATTCTTACTCAAACATTTTTTTTAAATAAAAATGGATTGTAGTATATTTTGAAGTGAAAACTTCTTTAGCATCGTTGTGATTTCAAAGTCTATGGGAGATTGTCCTCCTTACCTCTATACTCCATGATAACTTTTATACGTGGTAGAGCCATGCTGCGGTTATATTAGTAGTATAGTTGTAGCACGAATGGGGTCGGCTTGACCGGGGAAGGACTACGCTCTCACAGAATACCAGCGTAAAATAGTAGCTTAATGCTGCTGTGTTTAGTATGGTGAGTGTAGAGAACTGGCGACGCTTTTTACTGGAAACGAGGCATTCCATCTTGTTCCTCATGGGTGACAACGCATCTGCATTTTTATTCGTAATCGAGGATAGATGTAGATGTATATGGGCCCCGGCATCCACTTACCATCAGGTGGACTGTGTGCTCGTGCCATCCTATCCAATAAAAAAAACTATGACATTGGGACGTCAAACATCTCAGTACTCCCCGTGACCATGGGTGCTCTAAAGCACCCGAAACGTCAGGAATTTAAAATAAGTTAAATAGTTAATTAAACGCGATAAAATCCGTAAATAGAGTTTTGTTCAATGATAACGAAGATTGAAGTTAATATTCCAATATTTGGACGGCTTAGCACCTGACACCTAATAAAATTGATATTAATTGTTATATAATTTATGTGGCGACTGGTTAATACGGAATATTTATCCTTATTCAGATTGTATTTATTCAAACCACTACTGTACAAAGATACATATTTGCCACAAATAACACTGTAAACGTTATTTGAAAGATTTTCATCTGATGAATAGCGGTTCTTTGAGAGTGAACAAGAGTGCTTGGTAGGTACGGTTAGTGTTGCCCAAAATCGGCCTTGGTCTTGTTCTTGCATTTTTGCAAGACCAAGACCAAGAACAAGACCGCCTAATTTTAGCAAGACCAAGACCATGACTGACCGTGCAAGATTTGAGCAAGAACAAGACTAAGTCTGCGAGACTCTTGCGTCTTGCAGTTAGGAATGAGTGTCGTTTCAGGGAGTATAGGAGTTCGGGTATACGCTTAGGGACTCTATGAGACGCAAAAAATATATAAAAAAAAAATTGGAAAATTGGACTTATGCGCATTACGAACAATACCATAAACATACATAGCGGATGAAAATATCCATTAAAAGAAAAAACAGTGCATCCCTAGTTTTGACCATCGGCACTTTGATAGTGCGCGGCGTCTTGTTGTCGGCATCATCAAAGGTCGAATACTGACCTGTCAAAGAAATTTTGCAGCTATTCGGAAGTACAAGGTCAAGATACACGCGCCGGCGGCTTCTATTGATATCGCATTCAATATAAATCATATTCAATATAAAGTGTTCGAATATGTCGTCACCCATTTGATAAATGTTGTAGACACTTTTAACACACTTGAAACGTGTAAACATTTTGTACAATGCTAATCGAATAATATAAAAAGTGTGCATATTAAATA